CACACACACACACACACACACACACACACACACACACACACACATACACACACACTGTATATACTGTGTGTGTGTGTGTGTGTGTTCATACACATGTACACACACATACATACATACATACATACTGTATATACCGGTATATAAATATACATACATACATACAGTATGTATGTATATTTATATACATACAGTATATATATATATATTCACATACATACATACACATAAAGAAAGTAATATTCAAGATTCATTTTAAAAAGTTCATATATACTGTTTCTAAATATTCTCAGTATCGAGCACTTAGTGTTTCCTATGTTTAAAATAGACTCGTACTATTAATTTCGTGGTTTTCAAACATTACAACTGTATTGGGTTATTTATTTATTTAGCGGATGGCAACTGTATTGGGTGTTACTGTCCAAGATATTTACACTGTACAATGTGCAAACCCATAAACAGAAAAACATTCCAGAGATAATTGTATTCTGTGTTTTGTTAAAGGGAAACTTGCCAAAATATTCACACAACTCTCTGATGGTTCAAGCCCTGAAGACTAACTTAACAGACCCAGATGTCCATATTCTCTTCTTTGATGTGGAAGCTCTGATTATTCAGTTACTAACTGAGGAAGCCTCCAGGCCTAACACAGCCCTTATTTCCCCTGAGAATTTACAGAAAGCATCTGGCAGCTCTGACAAAGGGAGTCCCTTCCTTGCTGGCAAACGAGCCGCAGTCCTGCTTCAGCAGGTCAAAGAAACAGTCAAAGAAACAATCAAAGAAAACATAAAAGAACGTCTTTTCGACGAAGATGATGAGGACGAGGAAGCCAGACGAAGAGAGGACGGGGATCCCGAATACCGGTCTAGCAAATCAAAGCCGTTAACTCTCCTAGAATATAACCTAACCATGGACACAGCCAAGCTGTTTATGTCGTGTCTTCACGCTTGGGGCTTGAACACTGTTCTAGATGAACTTTGCAGTGAGCGCCTAGGGATGTTGCGGCCTCACCGTTCTGTCTCTTTTGGCTTGCTTTCAAGAGGCGGCCACATGTCTTTGATGCTCCCAGGGTATCATAAGCCTGTAGACCAGGGACTCTCTAGTGTTAGCAAAGACATAGTAAAGCCTGACCCTCTGACAGAGCGACACATCAGGGGGACGTACGGCATTTCACGTGCAGTAACAACCCAGCACCTCCTTTCCATCATCTCCCTGGCAAACACCTTGATGAGCATGACCAATGCAACTTTTATTGGAGAGCATATGAAAAAGGGTCCAGCCAGGTACCTTTATCAACTTCCTTTATTAGTTGTTCATCTCTTGTTTTCTCTCCCTTCCAGAATTCCACACTACACTGCAAACTTGATTTAGCAGTCCGTGACGCAACGGTCCAAATCCCCATCCTCTGTGTGAATGGGTGTATAAATAATGCCAATATTGTCATGCCCTTTGTTTGTATAGCAATGTAATGGTGGCATCATTTGTGTAATGGTATTGCTGTGGGTGTCGAGGTGTCTGATTGAACAACCAGGAGTAATGGACGCCTCCCTCTCTTTGGTCTGTCCATTAAATAGAGGTTACATTGTGTGTGTGTGTGTGTGTATGTGTGTGTGTATGAGCTGTGGTGGCGCAGTGGTTAGAATGCAGTACTGCAGGCTACTTCTGCTGACTGCCGACTGCCTGCAGTTAGAGTCTCACCACCTCACGATTGACTGAGACTTCCATCCTTCTGAGGTCGGTAAAACGAGGACCCAGATTGTTGGGGGCAACATACTAACTCTGTAAAACTACTTCGAGAGGGCTGTAAAGCACTGTAAAGCGGTATATAAGTCTAAGTCCTATTGCTGTTTGTATTTGCCGGACATTATAATCCGGCAAATACAAATACATACAATAAGTTGCATTTAATTTGACAAATTATTTGTTGAATCGAAACTAAATTATGAATGCAGAATAAAGCAATTAAGGTTTGGATTTAAGTGATACCAGACTTGGGCAGGGGGGGGGGGAGGAGCGTTCATTACGAAATGCTTTACCCAAAATAATGGTAAATTCAGAAGTCCAATACTCTCTTGTTCAGGTAAATCTTATTTATTTTGTGTCATATTTGTTAGCTCATTTCTTATCTTACCCTATATATGTTTTATATTATGCTGTTGTCTTACCTCGTATGCCCTGTCTTGCACTATATTCTATCTTTGACCTTATTCACACAATTTCATCCTGCTCTTCCCAGGCAATCCTGTTCAAAGTCATTTGCTTGCTCCTCTCAGGTGTCCTTTGTAGTGCTTTGTCCTGCTCTCAGAGCTACTGCTTTCTGGGACTTGTTCTGCTTCCACCAGCTCTTCTTGGCCCTGCCTAACAGGCAAAATCCCTTGACCGACAGAGTCCGGAGTATGTCCCTTCTGCCATTGAGGGGTGGGGTGGGCTAGTCCCATCAGGATGAGCTGGTTCAGTTATAACACCCTTGAAAACACCTTGAATTGAATCTAGGAGCAAAGTCAGTGCAGCAGGCAGGAACAGTGGTGTAAAGCGGGCCACCAAGAACTGCCCGTGCTGCTGCATTTTGGCTGCGCCAAAGAGCCGTGGTGGTGCGGTGGTTAGGACGCAGTACTGCAGGCTGAAATTTGAATCTCACCCGGCTGAAAGGTTGACTCAGCCTTCCATCCTTCCGAGGTTGGTAAAAGGAGGACCCAGATAGTTGGGGGCAATAACAACTCAGGCTGACTCTGTAAACCAGTTAGAGAGGGCTGTAAAAGCACTGTAAAGTGGTATATAAGTCTTAAGTGCTATTGCTATTTTGCACCAGCTGAAGCTTCTGGATATTCTTCAAGGGTAGCCAGATGTAGAGCACATTGCAATAGTCCATGTGTGAGATGACCAGCTCTTGAGTGACAGGAACTCCCAATCTAGGAAGGGGTGCAATTGGCAAACAGCACGTAGTTATACAAAAGCTCTCCTAGCCACAATTGCCACCTGTTCATTGAGCAGGAATCATGAATCTAGGAGAACTCACAGATTGTGCACTGGGTCTATCTGGGGTAGTGCAACCCCATTGAGAACTAAAGATGTTAAATGTCCCATAGCCGGAAATCCCATGCACCCACAAAGCCACTGCAATGTTAAACGGTCATTAAAGAGAGACTTCATAAGAACCATGGCAAAAGTCTTCATCTGCCTGTCCCACAAAGAGAAGCAAAAGAAATTCTGGAAGAGGACAAATATTTTCTAGAAAATGATGAAGATTTTGAGGAAACAAATGGGCTAGAAAGAAGATTAGGGGGGAAAACAGTACTGCAGATCGGTATAGATAAGGTGGGACTTTCTAATATGTTTTCTTAAGACACCAGGCTCAAATATGAAAGTATAAACAATCTCCTTTATGGGCTTAGTTATAAATTCACAAGTGTTTTATTTGTAGGCCACCTAGACCAGGGACTCCTGACCTTGGAAGAGTGAAGACTTCTACTCCACTTGCTAGTCCAACAGCCCAAGGACTGATTAAACAAGGTAATGAATATCAGGCTTTTGAGAATTTGTGAACAACTACATTGTAGTCAAAACTTGTTTGCATCATTTTTTTCAGCTCTAAAATATAAGCAATTTATTGAATGTGAGTTAGAGTTTAGATCGCTTTTACAAAACCTGAAATGGAAAATACATTGTTTTTGGTAATGAGACTTGAGTCAAAATCTTTGATAATGGTAAGAAATTACTAATATCTATGAAAGTGAAGTCTTCTTTTTATGTGCAATATACAATATACAATGTACTTTGTATGTGCAATATACAAATACAAATCCATATATTGCAATATGCAAAATGCAATATATATACAATACAATACAATACAATACAATACAATACAATACATACAATACAATGCAATACAATACAATACAATACAATACAATACCATACATACATACATACATACATACATACATACATACATACATACATACATATATATATATATATATATATATATATATATATATATATATAAAGCTATCACTCTTAGGAATTTTACTTCCTATCCAACTTTATGTTGCATTTATCCATCATTCTCTTTCAATGCTTAATACGAACTATGAATTTGGAAATATTTTCTGTTGCATTTTACAAGTGGATTCAGGATTGGCTTGTTTTGGGGTGAAACTGGCAGGTGACAGCTTAATTTCTTATAGATTGCAATTCAATTGACATTTGACCCATCTTGGAAAATAGCAACTGCCTTGGTCAGATTTTTATTCCCTTTTTTATGTTTATTGAAGTACTTACAGCTCCTTTTAATCCAGTAGTAACCTTATGCGGGGGTGGGTGGGGTGGGGTGGTATTCGGTTAAAAATGTTCTCTTCCCTTTCACCTTTTCTATTATTGATGATGTATATGAACTAGTGTTCATAGTGTTTTAGCACCTGTAAGCTGTAAGTTGTCCTGCCCTCATTTTTTAAAGTAGTTAAAAAAGTGAAGGATTTTACAGCGTTTGCAGAAAATGAAGCTTAAATATTTATTTGCCTGCATGCAAATGATTTATAATTTATAGTAAATGTTGCAAATGCAGTCCTCAGCAAAATTAAATCCATTTTTAAAAAAATCCCCCAAAAAAAGCAATGCTAAACAATACATAAACCTAACCAGTAAGGACATAATAATACAATATCCTTAATTACAGAAAGTTCTAAACCAGTTAAAGACCAAGTTAATAATAAAGAAAACCTTTAGGACAGTTTGATGTTTCACCGACTCAAATTTCTACAAACAGAAACATCAGCTAAAAGGTTTTGTTGATCTGTGGTCACCTACTCAACTGCTCCTCTAGATGGATAGAAAAGTAGCTGTTTTCTGATATTGTATGCACTTCTCCAAAAATGAAATGAAAGTTGATTAATTTATTGAGCAAAAAAAGTTAGCTCGCTATTTTTTATAAAACCTCTCTCATTGATGTTTTTTTAAAAAAATATGCCATACCACTACTTGTTATATTATACATTATATAATGACAGTTAGAACAATTAATCAGTGAAACAGCTTCCCTCCAGAAGTTGTGAATGCCCCAACACTGGAAGTCTTTAAGAAGATGTTGGATAGCCATTTGTCTNATGGAAGGCAGGTTGGTAGCATTTGCTTTTTCTGCAGTTCTAAATATCAGTTGAAGTCAGTGTCTGTCTTGTTTTGTTTTAGAGCCAAACCAGGCAGTTGTAGAGGTGCAGATGACAGACTCAATGATTCCGCTGTAGAACTGAATCAGCAGCTCTTGGGCAGTTTGAGCTTCCTGAGTTGACGCAGAAAGAATATTCTTTGTTGTGCTTTTTTGATGACGTTTTTGATGTTAGGCGTCCATTTTAAGTCTTGAGATATGATAGAACCTAGAAACCTGAAGGTCTCTACTGTTGATACTGTGTTGTCTTATATTGTAAGAGGTGGTAGTATGGGAGGGTTTCTCCTAAAATCTACCACCATTTCTACGTTTTTTTGTGTGTTTAGTTCAAGATTGTTCCGGAGGCACCACAAGGCTAGTTGTTCAACCTCCCGTCTGTGTGCAGATTTGAATTCGAGGGATTATATTTTTACGATAAGGTTCCATTTTCTATAGTCTGAACTCTTTTTAAACACCTTTATAGATCATAATTACCAAACACAATCAAGTAGATTTAAACATGCACTCTGTGAGTTTCCACACTCGTACATTTGGGTATGTGCACACTCTCAAGTCACAAAATCCATGTGGTTTTCTTGGTAACATTTTCTGAAGTAGCTTGTCATTGCTTTCTTCTTAGAGCTAGTGGGACTATCTGGCCCAACAGGTGCCTAAGTCAGGATTAGACCTATTTCTGTAGCACTATAACCAAAAACACTTCAAAACATACACTTTAACAGAAATAAACTTTATACCATCCTTAGCTAATTTATTTTTGTTCATCTAGAACAGGCTAGGTTTAGAAGATGCAATCAATATAGCCCTCTGTTTTTCTTGCTCTTTTTCTTTGTTGTTTTATTTCCAGATATTTTAAAGGCAAAACCTTTTCTCATTTCACTAGAGGGCTGATGTCTCGCGGCTTATGGGAGCAAAATCATGTCATACTCAGAAAGGTCTCCTTCTGAAATTAAGAAAGGAATTGACACTCCATAGCTGAGGTCTCCAACCTTGGCAACTTTTAAGACTTCTGGACCTCAACTCCCAGAGTTCTGGGAGTTGAAGTTCACAAGTCTTAAAGTTGCCAAGGTTGGAGACCCCTGATCCATATTGCTATGAAGGCAGGCTGCACAGTAGTCGCTTTGGGAAGAAATACATCCATTTAACAGTTTAAAATTTTGGCTATAGATTACAGGCTATAGATTGTCCAGAAGAAAATGTAACTTTGTTTGTCTTAAACAAATCTGTTTGTAAACATATTTCGGCAAATTTTTAACTTTGCAGAGCTTTATATCTAGCTTTTAATATTTTGCTAAAATCAGAACAATGTGGGAAATGCAGAAATATTGAGGATGAAATTTAAACTTCTGAATAATCTGTTAGATTGTCATAAGAGGTTTGATAAAAATCTAAAATAAATCCCCATGTCCCTCTTCTTTACTGTCTGCTGTCCCTTCACACCCCATACGTCAGAATATGCCTGCTGTTTTATAAACTTACATTAGTAAATTTTTTTTTTATGAACTTAATCCTGTCAAGGTTTAAAATTTTAAAAAAAAATAAGTTAACAAGTACAAGAAAATATAAATAGACTTTGAGACATAAATACACTTTTGAGTGTCCATATTTTTAGAGAAAAACACCCCTTATTTATTCTTCTAGTCCAGTAATAGCTAACCTTTTTGTCCTCGCGTGCTGAAATTGTGTGTGTGTGTGTGTAACAGCAGGTGTGTGTCCACACCCATAATACAATGCGTCCCTGCGTATGCATGCACAAGCCCCGTGCCCCATTTGTGCCTAGCGGGCCTCCCTGAAACCTCTTGGGACCAAAAACAGGGCACTGGGGAAGCTCCCCATGCTACCCCCCAACCCCTGTACATGCGCGTGCAACTCCCACATGCATGGCAGAGACACGAAAATCAGCTGGCCGGTGGGAGGCATGTATGCATGTGCAGTGGAGCTGAGCTGGGCAAGAGAGGGACCACGTACCACCTGTGGCATGCGTGCCACAGGTTCGCCATCAAGGTTCTAGTCTTTCAGTTGTCCAGATAATAGAACTACAAAGCAGTAGGCATTTCTTTGGTATTTCACATGCTTCAAACCTCTGGCTTTCTAGAGTTCCAGCTTCTAGTTGTCCCGGCCTGCCTAAGGAACCTGAAGAAGCTAGCTATAAATCAGATGGTTATAAGGGAATGGAAAGAATCATAATAAGGCTTGGCCTCTGGCAGAACAAGGCACTGTCAGTACCATGGAGAGCTCACTGTGAAAGATGACAGGTTGGATTCATTCTTAGGAGAATAGCTGCCATCTGAGGCTTTAAGAAGCCCCAGTAATAAAAACATAAGCATGAGCAGTTCCCTGCTGGATTGGACCATCTACTAGCCATCTACCATGTTTTCCCCAAAATAAGACAGGATCTTATTTTCTTTTGACCCCAGGAATAAGCGCTTGGCCTTATTTCCAGGGAGGTCTTACTATTTTTGAGGTGCCGAAGGAGCGAGCGTGGTCACCTCATGGCTGCTGCTGTATTGCAATATTTTTGGGGAGGGCTTATTTTAGCACATGCACTCAAAAGCCCGATTGGGCTTATGATGTGGGGGAAGTCTTATTTTCAGGGAACAAGGTAGCCCAACACTCTGTTTTACAGTGGCCAATTAAATGCACCAGGAAGCCAAGTAGAAGATGGCTTTCCAAGACAGTCACACTACCATGAAGACTAAGAGCCATTGATCCCCATGTCTTCCATGAATTGGTCCAGTCCCCCCCCTTTTTTTTGACGCCAGCCAAGTTACTATCCCTCACTACATGTCATGATGGCAGATTCCAAAGTTTAATGACACATTGAGTAAAAAAAATCCCTCTTATATAATCCCCTAGTTTTGTCTTTTCTTAGGCTTAAAGAGACTGGCCTTTTCTGAAGTTTCAGCCCGCTTGTCATTGAGGTTCTCCCAAGTCTATGGTGGCTTATCCTCAGAATTGGGGCTATTGGATAATGAGGAATGGCAACATCCTCAGGTTGCATAGCAGAAGAGAGAGCACCGAGGACAATTGTTGACTGATCTTTTGAACTTCAAAGTCTTCCTAGAAATTGCCGTCATGGTCAGCCCTTCAACCCTGCTGAGCTGATAGCACTTCTGCATTCAGCCTCTGCTTGCAGGTGTATGTTGTAACTCTGCTCTAGACAGATGTAATTTTAAGAAAGGATGTGGGGAGTATCTGAAACATAAGCAAATGCATCTGGCCCGCTAGGTGCTTAGGTCTGGCCTGTGGGGCTGCCCTGGAAACAGCAAAGAACCTCTGCCAATGAAAATGGAGCTCAGGAGGGCCATACATACCCTCCTGAGCTCCATTTTCACTGGCAGAGGGTTGC